AGTTTATGCATTGTCACCATAATTTTATGCTTCATCACATTTTTACAAGAGAGATTTCACTCCCATGATTTAGGCTATTGTAATTTTATGTAATGTCACCATCGTCGTACCGACATATCACATGCATATCATTTGTCTTTAAGTCTATCTGTATTACTCGTGTCATGATCAAAAACTTGTGCCCATAAGAATATGTTTTGAATAGTACTATTTGTCATCATTAGAAGAACAAGAAAACCATCAATATGAACTCTTAGGTCTATGTTTATCCAAGAATATATATATATATATTAAAAAAAAATTGAGTTATTGTCATTCTACATGATAAATTATTAGTTTAAAGATTTTTGGGGATATGAAGTATTTCTTTTTCCTTATCACGAGTGATAATTTTGGCTCAAAATTGATGCCATCTTTCACATCAGTATGCTAAAATATTCATGTGATTCTCTTTGGTTGGGATCTAATAATTTAAAAGGTGTTAAAAGAAACATATCAGTTGTGACACCAACACAAATGTTGACTTCTTAGTGGAGATGGAAAAAGCGTACACGGGCAAAGAATCCATAGCCATCCATAGTCCTATGTGGTCTTTGTCAACTATTGTGTCCATCCAACACCTAACACCCATTAGTAGATGGCATCCACAATGAACCATTGCATTCAACATATTGCATTTCGAGTGAAAACAACATGTAAAAGTTATTTTGGAAAATGAAATTTTAAGTAAACAATAAATCTATTGCCTGACTCCCTTAAAGCTCAATCAATTCATCTAATGTATTAAATGCGTTTCAAATAATAATAAAAAAATATATCAGATTAGTCTCAATCTTTCACCTCACATAAGAAACACAAGAAATCATTATAATTTTATCGGAGAGATTACATATCATATTTATAGAATAACTCCTAATCCTCCCATAAAGCTGAATCCAACCTACTAAAACTCCTAAAATGTTGGTCATAGTCAAACGTCGAGTTCCATTGTAAGGTGAAGCAAATCACATGGATGAGGAGGATGGATCTTCAGATTGGGGGAATCGATTGGGCCAGCTGAGGTGGCAAGTCATAGTTTTCCAAAATTGGCTGCCTTCGTACATTGAACGAGGCATGCAAGTGGGCGCTGTTTCGTGTGTTGACCGCGTTCCCGTGGGCACGGGTGGTGAATAGTTCGGCCCCTATGGCGAAATCCACCAAACATAGTCCAGCATCTTTCTCCACTTACGATGCCAAATATTCTGGACCCCATCGAAGCAGAACAATATTATGTGGGCAACATCCCGTATCCCGCACCAATTCGAGCATGAGATCCCCATCTCGACGGAGCCTTTTCTCGATCATTATTCCACTTGGAAATTTATAATTGCATCTTCCAAGTCACGTGCAAGGCACGCCGAGTGGGCAGAAAACACCCAAGTACCGAAACTACCCCTACGATCATCCCATAATCACCACAAGGCCATACCACCCACGTCCCACGTGGCCCCACGCGCGTCATATTAATTACACTGCATTTCATGTTAATTACATGATCACATTCAAATAGACCACATGGCATGATCCGGTCATGCCCTGCTGACTCGTATCATATTGATTACATTTCATGACCCGCTAATCCACCTACCCCTATATTTCATGAAAGGCCAAAAATCCACTTCATAATCTGGCCTTGTTTGATGGAATGGTCACAATCTTCACATGTAAATGCATGCATGACATGACACGGCCACTTAATTAAAGATCCAAGGATTAATTATTGGTAATTGGGGGAACAGTATCCAAAGGCGTATTTTTGTCTCTTTCCGTGTGGGCCATTTGGGCCGCTTTCCACGGCTTTCTTACGTGCCCGTAAATAGCAGAAGCTTTAGGGGTATTTTGGTATCCCCAAGTCCTATAAGTAGCGCTGCCTGCGGTGACTCGTATGCCTTTATCGGATTCGGAGCCAGAGTCCTCCGCGGAGTCCGATATCGGCCGCCTCTCTCCTCCTGCTCCTGCTCCTGCTCCGGCCGACCGGAACACGGACCCGGGGTGACCGCAGGGTTCTCGATCTCCGGCGGGGATCGCGGGGCAGTGAGTAGAAGGGTTTGTCCTGTTGGGAAGGTGAAGGAGGGAGGAGATATGGAGCTCAAGTGGGGGAGCGGACGGCTGTGGGCGGCGGCGCTGGTCGCGCTCGCGGCGGTTGCGGTGGTGGCGGCGGATCGTGGGCTGAGGCCAGAGGCGGCGGGAGCTGAGGCCGTCGAGACGGAAGAGGTCGGGGTGTCGGATTACGTGCTCAAGGTGGTGAATTTCCTGTGGCGGCCCGATGAGTCTTCCTACCAACACGTTTGGCCGGTAAAGATGCCTTAAGCTTGTTTCCCAACTTTACGGTTCCTTTTTGGTGGTCTTTCCGTTTGCATTTTTGTTTATTTTGATTAAAATGTTCTCTCTTTTTCTTCTGTTGGAAGTCTATGAAATTTGGGTGGGAAATCGTCGTCGGAACGATCATTGGGTTCTTGGGATCGGCGTTCGGAAGCGTCGGAGGCGTCGGCGGGGGTGGGATTTATGTTCCTATGCTCACCCTCATCATTGGATTCGACGCCAAGTCTTCCACTGCCATATCAAAATGTGAGATCATATAGAGATCGATATAAATGAAGCATAGTAAACAACATTTCACTCTGTATTGTTAGGATGCTTTCTGTTTGTGTGGCAGATGTATCTTTGTCCTGACTGTGTTCTTGTTTCTGCTTCATGCTTTGTGCTTGTAATCACTGCATTAGTTCATATTGCTGAAGTACTAGTGTAAATTTGGCACAGGTATGATCATGGGCGCGGCGGGATCGACAGTTTGGTACAACCTTAAGCTCAGGCATCCAACTCTGGATATGCCCATCATCGATTACGATCTAGCTTTGCTTTTCCAACCGATGCTCATGCTGGGGATCAGTATTGGAGTCGCGTTCAATGTCCTCTTTGCTGATTGGATGGTCACAGTTCTACTAATCATTCTCTTCATAGGTAACCGAGTCATTTCTTGTCCTTATCTTTGTGATTCGGTTCGTAGAAAGACTGTTTGGTTGAGAGATTTATGTCCTATGGTCACTGAACAGGTACATCAACTAAGGCATTCTTGAAGGGTGTAGAGACATGGAAGAAGGAGACGATAATGAAGAAGGTGTTTTTCTGTTTGTAGATCATTTTAGAATTGAAATGTTGATCCTAATTCAATTATATCATGCTTACCTGATCTTATGTTTCTGAATTTTAGGAAGCAGCGATGCTTAAGGAGTCAAACGGTATGCTGATTAATTATCTGTTGAAGTATACAAAGTTTATCGGAACTAATTGCTCATCAATGTCATGTCATGCAGGAAGGGATGAAATAGAATACAAAGCTCTGCCATCTGGTCCTGGGGGTGCATCAAAGAAGGCTCTACGAAAAGAGGTTGGTAGGAATCAACTCCAACTCCTTTTCGGTGGCAGAATATCTAACAGGGGATTAACATAATCAGACAAATGTTGCAGGCCCCAATCACCGAAAATGTCTGCTGGAAGGAGCTTGGTCTTCTTTCTTTTGTGTGGATCTCATTCCTTATCCTACAGGTTTTGAAGGTGAGTAATATTTTCTGAAGAATATAATCAAGTCCCTGATGTTACAAAATGATCGATTAGTGACACGCCTTGTTTCCATCTCTTTCCAGCAAAACTACACATCGACCTGTTCCCTATGGTATTGGATTCTGAACTTGCTTCAGGTGCAGTCCTATGCTCTTGTCAGACAATGACTTCTTACTTAGATTAGTAATCCATAGATGAATTCTGTAGTTACATCTAATATGTTGAGATTTCTGCAGGTCCCTGTATCTTTGGGAGTATCAGGTTACGAAGCTGTTAGTTTATACAGAGGAAAGAGAATTATCTCATCAAAGGGAGGGGACGGGACAAACTTTACAGTCATTCAACTCGTTTTCTACTGCCTCATCGGTGTCCTCGCTGGTGTAGTTGGAGGCCTCCTTGGCCTTGGAGGAGGGTTTATTTTGGGCCCTGTCTTCTTGGAGCTTGGTGTTCCACCGCAGGTGTGTGCATCTAGTACTCTTTTTCTGGCTGCAGTCAAATTTCAACTTCTCTTGTAGTTCTTGATCTCACTTTTGACAATGTAGAGAACACACTGCTCTGGAGGTCCTTTTCAATAGAATGCAATGCTATGTCTATGATAGATTAACATAATTCCCGATTAGGATCAAGATCCATGTGATAATCTCTTGTAGAATCAGATAGGATTCTTCTTTCTTTGGATATTTTGGGTGAATTCCAATTTGTTGTAATAATTCATGATGTGCAAATGTGGATCTTACTGTTTCTGAATTAACATACTTGCATCTCATTCAAGCACAACTTAATCAAAAAGTCTTTCTCCAGGTCTCGAGTGCTACAGCAACTTTCGCAATGACATTTTCTTCGTCCATGTCTGTTGTAGAATACTACCTCCTGAAGCGTTTTCCCATCCCTTACGGTAATGTTCTTCACCTGTCGATTACTTTCTGCATGTGAAATGAACCAGTACCTCGAGTTCATCGCACAGCAATTCACTCCGTTTGCTTCTTTCACTTGCATTAAGGCGTACTTAATCCTTATGTCTTTCATAAACTGGGCAGCATTGTATTTTGTGTCTGTGGCATTGGTGGCTGCCTTTGTCGGCCAGCATTTGGTTAAGAGGCTGATCGAAATACTGGGTAGAGCTTCTCTGATCATCTTCATCCTTGCCTCGACAATTTTTATTAGTGCAATCTCATTGGGTAAG